GGATGGGGAGGAGGAGGAGGAGGAGAAGAAGGAGGTTTGAAGTGACGGTTCAGAGGAATTGTCAGAGTTAGTTGGCGGCGGAGATGACGAGGAAAAGGCGGGCTGGAGAACGATGTTTGGTGCATTTCGAGAGTTGCAGTTGATCCGAAGACGTCCGACAAGTCGGATTCGTGCCCGGAATGTCCGTTGACCTCGAGGACACGTTGGAATCGGTTGTGCGGCGGAGTTGCGTACTGGACGAAGTTGGGATTTGCGGGCTTCGCGTTTCACTTTGGCGGAAGCGATGCGGTTGGCTTCAAAAATTGACACGCACACACACACACACACACACCGCAGGTCGACCGTCATGCCCGATGAAGTCTATCGTATGCTTCACGACAAGGTGAATCAGGCACGGTGGCTTTCGTGTGATTTAGCCTACAGTGATTGTAGACTTGCGGTGCATCTGCCTCACTCCCTTCCTCTCCCCTCGCCCACCTGGGCCCGGTGTCAAGACAAAGTCAAGAGGACCGGAGGCGGGGGAGGGCACAAGTGAATGGCACGGTCTGGCCCGCACCTTGGTGCTCCACTCAACACCTGCCGGTCCACAGGACTAATGACCAGGTTTTTAACTAAAAACGACAATGGTGGCCTCATGACCCCAGTATGCGTGACGTCTGCCGGCAAACTGGGTCTTCCACCGCACACCGAAATGTTGACATTTGTTTGTGTACTCTATTCAATAACGCCCACCGGAATCCGATATGCCCTCCGTGTTGGTCTGGTACATTTACTACCTGACCCGTTTGGAGGGCACACACACGCACGTCCCTGCTAAGGCTAAGTAATGGAACCAGACTACTGCTTTCTTCTAGCTTTGTCTGGAGCAGTAGGAACAGAAGTTGGCCGGAGTAGATGGATCATCATATTCTGCACAGGATGAATGAAGAACAAATTCGAGAAAGTCGACAGCCGGAAGACGACCGTACATCAGGCGTCGCCGGGGCATCCGTCCGAGCATCCTGTGTGAGAATATGGCCACATCAAGCTTGGAGTTGACTGAGTGGTCAAAACAACGGGGAGTGGCCAAAAAGTAGAAACAGGGACTGGTCAGATGCAATAGCCGTATCGTGCATGCACTTAAAGGTGCTACTAGAGCGTGACTCTTGCCTTCATTTTTTGTTTCTATCGCAGCTTACCCCTCAAAATATTTGTATAACAGATTTATACTGAATCGGTGTACAGTGGAGAGCCGACGTCACAATACCCTTTCTGATATGGGCTCTTCGTGGAGGAAGAATCTTGCTGCAAGTGTAGTTGGCTGATGGTTTTCGAGAGCAAGAAGTCCCTGGACAGAATGTGCCGCAGAAGGGGCTGCGAGTCTGTTCAATCAATAAAAAAACGGAATCCACTTTTCCGTTATTGTAATCTGAACCAAAGACTCCATTGTTATTTGAAGCTTTGTAAAATTTTGGAGCTAGTTTACCTCTGAAGCGAATCAACGCTACTGGAATAAGTGCTAACTCGGGTTGGTTGAAACACAATTACTGCTGGGGGGTCTGCTCCGAAGCGGTATCCGTCGCCAGGGGATGAAAACTGAAAGAAAAACCGGAAAACCAATAAAAATTTTCAAGGCCAGATTTGTAGAGCTTCGTCTTCTAGGTGGAGCTGCAGCTGCCGGAGTAAACGGTGGCAATCCAGTATAGAAATATCGGAACCACTGCTCTTAAATTGATGTAGCGTGGGTCTTTGGAATGTGTCAGGGCATCGTTGCTGGGTACTTCTACATACACGAGCGAGATCATGTAACGTAGATTTTTATAACTGGGCGCGGAATAGAGGCAGGTTCAACAATATACTCAGACGAATTTGCCAGCTTATTGGCGACGTATTTGGACAGAACACGATTGCAAAACCGTCAATAAGCGGGAAAATTGAATTAATTTGAAAACAGGTGCCAACATCCAGCAAAATGACGGGATTTGAATAGGCAGAAAGGTTGGGATTTTGAAAAAAGTCAAGAAGTCTCCCAGCATTTACTTCAGGAGCACTTAAACGAAGACGAATACCACTTCGTAGCATTTCTATGCATTATCAAAGAAGTATTCGTTGCTTACTTGTTCTTAATTAATCCAGACCTATTTTCCGCAGCATAGACGACGTATTTTTAATCTGAATCTGATTTTCTACCAGTCTACCTTTTAGGGTAAGAATGACGCTATAGTTGTATCGACTTGGAGTGTCAGACGAATGACTGCTGCTGGCATATACATTGAGGTCTGTCACAGCCAGACTCTGCGTTGAATTAGAGGCCGGCCCTGGCATCGCTACAGGAGCAATTTCTGCT